ATTCGACACCGTACGATTCGACACCGTACAATTTGACACAGTACATTTTCCGATATCATGTACATTTCAGAAACAAATTTATTTGCATCACATATTATAGTACACATGTTGGCGGAAGAAGGGCTCCGCCCCTCCCCCTGCACCCCCTCCCCGAAAAAAAACCTAACCTAACCCTAACCTGTGTTGCTACTAGTATTAATTGTCACGATGCATAGTGCTTGTTCTGTGTTGAATTGTACGGTGTCGAATAATTTGGTGTCGAATCGTACGGTGTCGAATAATCTGGTGTCGTATCGTACGGTGTCGAATAATTTCGTGTCGAATCGTACGGTGTCGAATAACTTGGTGTCGAATCGTACGGTGTCGAATAATTTGGTGTCGAATCGTACGGTGTCAAATAAATCTGTGTCCAATAATTTGATGTCGAATCGATCGGTGTCGAATCGTACTGTGGTCAAACGGAACACGCCCGACGAGAAGCTGTACTGGTAGGGGCAAACCGGCATTGTGCGGAAACTGCAGGAGGTGGCACCACGGAGATCATTCTCACTCGGATAGCAATTCTTGCCCTATCCTAATCAAGAGGCTTCAGGATAAAATTAAAACAATTAATTATGGCTAGAGTTTCTCCTACACTCGATAGCGTCCGCGTGTGCCATGTTAATTGCCAATCCCTGCTAGCGCACATTGATGAATTTAGAGAGTTTTTTATGCTCTCTCAATATCTCATCATAAGCATGTCTGAGACATGGCTTAAACCCTCCTTATCGGATCAAACTGTTTCTCTACCTGGCTTTCAGCTGTTCAGGTGTGACAGGGTGGGGAAGGGTGGTGGCGGTGTGGCTCTTTTTTTCTCCAACTCTCTGAAAGCAAGGATCATCACCACCTCAAGTGGTTTTTACGAGAAAAAACCTGAATTCGTTTTTGCTTAGGTCTCCACGGCTAATGAAAAGTTGCTGCTGGCGGTCGTATATCGACCACCTCACTGTGGTTACTTAACGGATTTTTTCAACACTTTTTCCAATCTATCTACATCTTACAAGCACACAATCATCTTTGGTGACTTCAATGCCAATCTGTTAGCCGAAAATTATGACTCTGATCAAATAAAAGACTTCATCAATTATTCTTCGTTTTACTTGGTGCCTTATGCGCCTACTCATCATACACCTTCTTTTTCTACCTTGCTGGACTTGTGCATAGTTGATGATACAGAGAAGCTTATCTTCTACGATCAGCGAGATGTTTATTTCCTGTCTTCGCACGACCTAATAGATATCACTTACAGTATTTCTGTTGGTAAACGTGATGTCAGAACCATTACCGTCAGAGATTATAGCAACTTTGATTGGAACCACTTTCTTACTAAGCTTTCTAGTTGCGACTGGAGTATCTTCATAAACTCTGATGAGATTGATAATAAAGTTGCTAGGTTTAATGAATATATATCTAACTATTACAATAAACACGCGCCACTTAAGACCATTCATCCAAAGCATCTGCCTGCGCTCTGGATTACGCCTGAAATTAGGTCCTGCATGAATGAAAGAAATAAGCAGCGCAGAAGGTGGCGAAGGAATAAATCTGACGTTAATTACAATCTCTATAAGAGATTAAGAAACCAGGCCCAGGCTATGGTGCGTGAAGCTAACCAGAGTTACTACCTTTCTATTTTTTCAAACAAAAAAGACCCTTTCACCATATGGAAGAATCTTCGTCAGTTGGGCTTGATCAAGTCTAAAACCTCTGATAGAAACTTGCTTTTCTCCATAAATGAGCTGAATCCCTTTTTTCTTGCTGACTCGAATGAGACTACCGACTTAAGAGATGTTTTTTTTGGTGATGAGTCCTATGAAGACAGCAAATTTTATTAGAGTAATATTGACTTTAACGACATTTGTCGCGCCATTCGTGAAGTTAAGTCTGGCTCTGCTGGTATAGATGGTTTTTCATTGGACATGATTAGTCGTGCTCTACCAAGTATTACACCTCATATTGCTCATTTATTTAACCACTGCCTGCTCCATGGTGTTTTTCCTTCTCAATGGAAGTCTGCTATTGTGTGTCCTATTCCTAAGATAAAATATCCATCTGAAATTAAGCATTATAGGCCAATATCAATTTTGTGTTTTCTTTCTAAAGTTCTTGAACGCCTTGTTGCTCGTCAAGTTATTGACTACGTGGAGACTAACAATCTCCTTAATCCTCTTCAGCATGCGTATAGACGGGACCACTCCACACAGACTTCACTTATTAGAGTTGTTGACGACATAAGATATGCTGCCGACTTAGACAGGTTACTGTATCTGTGTTCTTTGATTTCACCAGGGCCTTTGACTGCGTTAGCCACCGTACTTTGAGTGACAAACTCAGAAAATTAAATTTTTCTTGTACTGTTCTTAGGTGGCTCTGCTCCTATCTCTTTGGTCGGACACAAGTCGTGAAGGATCCTGTGACGGGAGTTTATTCAAATGAGCTGCCTGTTCTGTGTGGCGTCCCTCAGGGTTCCGTTCTCGGCCCTTTGCTCTTCTCTCTTTATGTCTCTGACTTTGGCAAAAACTTACGATTTTGTAAATACAACTATTATGCGGATGATTTACTTATATATATCCACACCAAGCCATCTCTCCTTCATGAGGCTATAACTAAAATTAATCTTGATATCCGCAATGTAGTTCAGTGGTCGACTGCGAATAAGCTGACTTTAAATACCAGCAAGACCACTGCAATGATTTCTGGTACTAGGAGATATATTGGAAATTTTGTTCTGGACGGCTTGCCTCGGGTCTTGGTTGATGGGAGCGAGATGCCGTATAGTGACTCAGTTGTCTATTTAGGCATTACTATTACTAGTACGCTTTCGTGGGAAGAACACGTCACTCGTACCGTGTCGCGTGTTAATTCTTCTCTTCATCAGCTTAAGTCTCAGAAGGGCTTACTCTCTACTGAGTTACGCATTAGACTTGTGTCCTCATTGCTTTTTCCTCATTTTGATTATTGTTGTGCCTTGTTCACCGATATTTCGAGTGAATGCAATCAACGTCTCTAGCGTTCTCTTAATATATGCATCAGATTCATTTTTAATGTGAAGTGGTATAAACACATATCACCTTATTTTGAAAGTCTGCATTGGCTAAAAATTGCACCTAGAAGGTTATTTTTTCTCGAATGTCTCGTATTTAAAATACTCGAAACTCGTCGCCCGCAGGTTCTATATGACATTTTTGTTTTTTGGCGTGACAATGGGTCCCGTGACACTAGAGCAGCCAGTGATGCTCTTGTTCTCCCTTTGTCTCGGACGGAAATATTTAAGCGTTCCTTCAGGTGCGATTCTGTAGACGTCTGGAACTCGATTCCTGCTGATATTCGTAAAGAGCCATTTGACATATTCCGAAAACGATTGTATCAGCACCTGTTAGTTAGCTCTGTTTAAGTTTTTTTTAGTATATTTTACTTTCCAGCTAGCTATTTTACATTGTATATACATTTGGCTATTTCTTGTTTATTTACACTTAACTATTTAGATTATTATATTGTATCCTTTTAATCTTTCATATTTTATATTTATCTTTGTATTTTTTGTTATAAATATTTTTATTTTTGTCTTAAATATTTTTAATACCTTGTCATATATATCTTATTATTTTTGTTATTTTTTGTCATTAATGATCAACTTTTCTGTTTGCTTTGTAATAACAGATGTTTGACTATTGTCTATTTCATACTCACATTATATTTTTCTTTCTTATTATTTTTATTATTCTACTTGTTTTTGTTACTTTGTTATAATTTAACTGATTTTCTTGTTTTATTACCTTTACTTTTGTTAAATTTACTTTTTTTTCGGATACTTGTCGCCATCTGTTAATTTTGTTATTATATTTTCTTTTTTCTTTTTTCTTTGTATTATATTATAATTACGTTTTTTTCTTTTACTATGTTTTCTGTTTATAAAATATTTATTGTACTTAGCGCTTGAGGAGAATTATTCCCAAAGCGCAATACAAATAAAGCAAAATCAATCAATCAATCAATCAATCAATCTCTTTTACATTCGCTTTTTACATTCGCAACACTATCAGCACTGTCATCCTGAAGAAATCTGATGAAGTATATTGTAATAAGCCAGAGTACATTATTGCTGAAGTCTCTTTAAAAGTTACTGCTAAGTTGCTACTGGCAACAGTTTATAGGCACCTAACTGCGGCTTTCTCAATGAATTCCACGTCTTTTTGGATTATCAAACTAATTATAGACACTCCATCATTTTCGGTGACTTTAATGCAGATATATCTGTTGACTGTTACGATAGCAGACAATTATTTTCGTTTATTGAATCATCCGGTCTATACTTGATTTTCTACCAGACAACGCATCATTTGAGAAACTCGAGCTCTTTACTGGATGTATGTATTGCAGATGACTCAGAAAAGATCGCAAATTTTGATTAGCATAACATGTCCTTCTTGTCGGCTCATGATCTTATTTTTGTGCACTACAAAATCAGTTGCGAACGTGTTTTCAGACGTGAAGTCTGTTGTCTACAGGAGTTTTAAGGAGGCAGACTTTTTTCTGAATTAACAAGCTAAAGATTGGAACAGTATTATGACTTCAGTACCCGTGGATGAAAAAGTTGACAAACTGAATAATTATATATTACAATGTATGGATAAACATGCACCTATACGGCAGAGAAGCTTTAAGAGTTTTCCTGCGCCCTGGCTTACTGATGACATAAAGGCTGCAATGAGAGAGAGGGATCGTACACGCAGAAGATGGCAAAGGACAGGAAATCATGATCTTTATACGGTTTTCAAGAGATTGCGCAATCATGTACAAAATCTGGTGCGTACTGCTAGGAACACGTATTATTTGCAAATATTTAAGAAGGAGAAAGATCTATCCACGATATGGGGACATCTGAGACATTTGGGTCTCGTCAGGGCGAAGAGTTCTGGTGGTTGTCTGGCCTTTCCGGTAGAAGAGCTTAACAATTTCTTTGTGCAGAACTCCGGTGGCTCTTCCGTTGATACAGCGGATCTACATCAGCATCTCCGAACGTCTATGGAGAGTGTTTTTGACGATAGTAAGTTCTACTGGACGCACGTTACTCCACAATCGATACAAACTATTGTTTCTAGAATAAAAACCAATGCCGCTGGATGTGATAATATCCCGTTGAATATTATTCGTCTAATCTTGCCATACATCATGCCAGTGATAGATCATATTTATTATTTAATTATTATTTATTATTTTTTTTTATATATTATTTTCAATTATTCTTTATCTCATTGCGTCTTTCCTGGAGTGTGGAAAAAGGCTGTTGTATATCCAATACCAAAGATCAACAACCCCACAGCTCTGCAGCACTATAGGCCGATCGCCATTTTTCCGACGTTATCGAAAATCATGGAGCGAACGGTATGCGATCAGATTCAGGACTATTTAGAAGATAATAATCTTTATGATCCTTACCAGTTGGCATATAGAAGAGGGCATTCTACTCAGACTGGTGTCATCAGGATACTTGATGATATGAGATTCGCGAGTGATAGAAGAATGATAACGATTTCTGTTCTGCTGGATTTATCTAAGGCCTTCGATAGAGTTCACCATTCAACTTTATTGAAAAAACTAGAAGATAAAAAGTTCTCTAACTTAGCATTACATTGGATAAACTCATATTTAGAAGAAAGGCAACAAGTAACTAAAGATCGAGTAGAGCATTCTGTCTCTTCCTCTACTGCGGTGGATGTTGGGGTGCCGCAGGGGTCCGTACTTGGGCCATTGCTCTTTGTTCTGTATATATCTGACTTCCAGAGCGTCCTCTCATACTGCGAATATAGCCTTTATGCAGATTATATATTGATATACGTACATTGTAAGCCTTGTGCTATAGAGGATAGTATCGCCTGTGTCAACTCTGATATTCACAAAATAACATCTTGGGCAACGCTTTCTAGCATCTTTCTGTGTGTCTCTCTTTAGCATCCAGCAGAAATCTGCCATCATATTTTTGTCTCATCTTTCTTGGTAACGAGTTTCCATCACATTGATATCCTGGTGAAATCGTTCGCCCTGCTCTTCGCTAAAGTCTCCAAGATTGTCAGAAAAATTTTCAAGGTGGGAGTGCAAAAAATGTAATTCTAAATTCATTAGACATCCAGGCGTTTGAAAGTCTGTAATCATTTTTGCAACGATTTGTTTATATTCAGGACTTTTTGCATTTCCCAAAAAGTTCTGGGCCACTGCTTTGAAACTAAGCCAGGCTTCTTTTTCCAATCGATTCATTGTACTAACGAAAGTAATATCTCTAAACATAGTTCTGATTTGTGGTCCATCAAATACGCCGTGATCCAGGGATTCAGCCGGATAACGGAATTGCTTCGTTGCCCGCCGTCACCGCGTGGAGGTGCCCTGGATGCAGACACAGATGAGACACTACTCTGAATATGGAGGTAGATCGGAAAAATAAACAACAACATGTGTGGACATATATTTGCTGTGTAGATCATTTATTTTGTTGGGATGATACAAAATAGTTCAATACACTGGTCTCCAAGTCGAAAATGACTGATCTTGTGCGAGATGAGTCTTGAAGAAATGCTGGGCCATTAGAGGTTATGCTATGAGAGTTATAATGTTATTGGAATTTAAGGTTAAGGGGTTATGGGGTTTAAGAATTAACGGGTTATAAAGTTAATTGATTTAATATATTTGATATAACTAGGCTAATTGGGCTTGAATTATAGGTTTTTTGAGGTTATGTCCAAAACTTGATGTGATAGGGTTAAATGGACTTCGGATTCGGTTTCAGCGACCCCAAAAACATATAGTAAACATGATCTGACCCCCAGGCTAGAACATTTTTTTTTGTGTGGCTGTGTTATTAATTGTGAAAAAACGCAAGCAATTATCACAGGCTCTAGCAGATACATCAATGCTATTGATTACAGCACTCTGCCTAAAATTGAAGTAGATGGTGTTGTAATGCAGATACAGCTTCTGTGAAATATTTAGGTATCACAATAACTAGCTCGCTATCGTGGGACAAACATGTCACGTCCACGACGAATAAAATTAGGAAATCGCTGTACCGGTTAAAACTGTGCAAAAACTTGATGCCGCAATCGCTTAGACATAGGCTTGTGACAAGTTTAATATATCCTTACTTGGATTATTGCTGCTGTGCTTTCACGGATATTACACTTAGCTTCGATCTTAAACTCTATAGAGCCATTAATGCGTGTATTAGATTTATTTTTTGCATTAGAAAAGACGAACACATCACACCCTACTACAATGCTCTGCAATGATTGAAATCGGACTGCAGAAGAGCTTATTTTGTTGGATGCTTAACTTATTGCATTTTGTCAACGGAGTGTCCTCGGTTCTTATACAATGGATTTCAATATCGTAATGCTGTTTCTAGCAGACAGACTAGAGCTGCCTCTGACTCACTTGTCCTTCCACGGTGTCGGACTGAGATGTATAAGCGTTCCTGTATTTGTACTGCGACTGACCTCTGGAATAAATTGCCGCCTAACATTCGGGAGGCAAAAATGATAGATTGCTTTAAATCCGAACTTCATGCTTATTTATTGAATTGCGACAATTGATATATTTTTGTAATACATGTTACTTATGCTTATTATGTCTCTTACTCGCATTGCTGTTTCATAATTATTTATATTTTATTATGATTTATATTTGCCCTGAATAATATTTGCTATTTATATTTTATAATATTTCGATGTCTATATCTGCTTGTTATTTTTATAATTATTGTTTATCATATTTTCCGTATTAACTGCACTTATGTATTATTTGAGCTATTATTGCTTGTTCTGTATGCACTTTTCTGATGCGCTTTAGAGGACTTCTCCCAGAAGCGCTAAAATAAATCACGCTTTTTCTCTGTCTCTCTCTCTCTCTCTCTCTCTCTCTCTCTCCCTCTCTCTCTCTCTCTCCCTTTCTCTCTCTCTCTCTCTCTTGCGAGTAGAGAAGACGTGTCACACATCGCTCCGTAAAAAGTATAAGTTTTTAGTAAGTAAACAATAAGAGAGTGTGATAAAAAGTGGTTTAACTTATAGAGCCATAGAAAGTGAGTAATTATGAGTATTATCTAGCCAGGATATGCTCAGTTGTGACTGTGAGAAGTGCATTTCTTGTTCGGGGTATCAAAGTCTCGCAAGACGGGTAGACACTTTACGTCGATACAAGGTGCTGACGTGTGTAAGTGGATCACAGGTGAATGATCGCTTGCGCTGATATTAACAACTCTGGTCGGTAATTATCGGCATGGACAATGAATATGCAGAATAACGATGCTCGGCATGTAAGAAGGCAATAAAAAACAAAGTTATTAAATGCAAGTCTTGTGTCAAACTTTTTTACCATCCGGGATATATGTATGTATATGGAAACATAGAATTTATGATAGAAATCGAGAATTGGTGCAGTGTGCTGATCCGATTGAAGAGTTTTTCGTTGAAAACGGCCAAGAAGCAAGTATGAAGAAAGCTCCGACGACGACAGGGAGCAGCAGGGATAGGACAGGATCTACAGGGTCTATAGGTTCTGCGGGATCGTTTACAGCACCGAGTAGTGGAAATAAGTTATCAGGAGTGAGTGGATCGACTGGCATTGATGTAAAAATAGATTATCTTATAAGAACTGTGAAAGAAATCAAAGATGAAACTACCTGTAAAAAAGAAATTAAAATGATAAGTAAAGAGATAGTTCGAGAGGAATTGGGAAACGTTAAACACGAACTGGAAAATCTAAGAAGAATGATACAGGGAGTAATGCGCNAACCAGCGTCAGGAACGCAAAGAAGCTACAGTGAAGCAGTCAAAGAAATGAAGAGAGAAAATATTATAATTGTGAAGCCAAAATTGGAACAAGAAAGTAAAACCACAAAAAAGTTAATAAAAGAAAAAGTGGACATTAAGAACATGGCGATGGGAATAACAAAATTAAGAAAAGGAAGCAAGGGAACTGTAATAATGGGATGTGAAACTGGAGAGGAAGTAAAAAAGTTGAAGGAGACAGTTCAAGCTAAACTAGGAGAAAATTAGAAAGTAGTGAAATCACCACAATCAAAGCCGAAATTAAAAATTATTAATGTAGGGATGGAAGAGATAAATTTAAGTGATGATAAACTTATATCTACGATAAAAAAGCAGAATAAAATGGATACAGTGAATATGCAAATAGTGAAGAAAATAATGAAAGGAAAGAAAAATAATGACAACCAGTCTAAAAAACGAGAAGGTGAAGAGGGGTCAATAATAGTAGAAACAGATGATGAAACACACGAGTTGATTCTGAAGAAAAGTAAACTAAATATAGGATGGAAGAAATGTCCTGTATGTAATCATGTTAGTGTTAAAAGATGTTTTAAATGCTGGGGTTATTATCACATAGCTAAAAACTGTGTGAGAGACGAGACATGTCACAAATGTGCAGGAAATCACAACTCGANTGACTGTTCAGCGACAAAAAAGAAGTGTGTAAATTGTATGTTCAAAATTNGAACATACAACCTAAAAATAAATGACGAGCACGACGCTCTCAGTGTGGAGTGTCCAACATTTAAGAGAACATTGCAAGAAGAGAAGAGGAGAGGTGGCTGGAAGGACACTAAATAGCAACTACAGGAAGATGTGGAGCTAATGCTATATACAAATGCGCAAAGTCTAACTGCGCATAAAGATGAGATACAGCATCAGATTTTGAAGAAAATAAATCCTGCATTCTTAGCACTGTCGGAAACTAGATTGACTGATGAGATTGATGATAGTNAAGTGAGCGTTCAGGGTTATAGTATAGTTAGGTGTAATACTGAGAACAGAAATACAGGAGGAGTTGTTTTATATATAAGGGACAATGTTAACTATGAAATAGTATTAGCAAAAACCTTAAAATTGAACTGTTGGTGTGTAGCGGTAGAAATAAAAGAAAAATTGTGTAAAACGGTGATTATGATCAATCAATCGCTCGTGAAAAGTTAAGAATAATCAAAGGGCCGATACGAGCAGTAAATACAGGATGTGCGTGTATAAATATAAGTCTTTATTCCAAATAAACACATACGTTTCGGTCCTTCAGTTTGGACCTTCTTCAGTGTGATAAACATCTAATGCATGTAATAGATAATTAGCGCACAAGATACATCGTAATAAAATACAAAAAAAATAAAAAAACATATTAATAAAACTCACTCAATGAAAAACAAATTAGATCACAACATCACAAAATTATAAAATAAATGATGTCAATCTTGTATGACCACGAATTACAAATACTGTGTACTGACAAGAAAACATAACAACCAGCAAATATATAAAAGTATCACCACTATATGATCAGAAGATCAAAAGTTCACATTAGGTCAAAAAACATGTTTATAAAAGGAACAGTCTAAACATTTGATTTATACATTTCAAGTAAAGAAAAATAAGGTTTCAACGAGTCAGTCCGACATTACATTTAACGGATTACCCTGCAACTTAATATGGAGCATTTCAGAAACTAATCTCTTATAAAAAAAATTTTCAGTGTCTAAGATTTTTACATTATTCCAAATATAGTCATGACCAGTCTCTAAACGATGCTCCGTGACCACAGAAACAACAGCTGAATATCTATTAATCTGATTTCTATGTTCACTAATCCTTGTTTTTAACTTGCGCTTCGTTTGTCCAACATATGATACATTACAATTATTACAATTAATTTGATATACAACGTCTTTATCTTGATCACAGAGATTTTCTGATTTCAATAGAGAATTAATATTTCGACACAAACAGGTTTCTATTTTCATAAGGAATCATCCTGATATCAAGAGGCACGGTAGTGCCTCGCGCCAAGTTCACGCGCGCGCAGTGCGCCCAAACTGTGCGAGGCACACCGTACCTCTATATACGCGAAAAT